AATACATACAAACACATAATATAGACTCCTCAGTTGGTGTATCGTTGATGGCATGAACCGAACCGTTGGACCCTTTGAGCAGGTGTCGGTGTCGGGACCGGGACCCCAAAGGAGGAATGGTTCCTCTCTTGAGGGAACGACACACGCGGCTCCATGAATTGGCCAAGTAGGCGGTGAACTGCTTGTAATGATTGTTTAAGGATGTTTAGTCAGTTGACTCTGGCTGGAACGAACATGGAAGTCAACGGAAAAGGATCTGTTAGTTCCGAGTGTAAGGTGACTTGTCTCGTCCTAGACCTGTTTGCCTTACTGGTCGTGATGTGGAGGGAGGATGGGCAGATATGTAACCTCTTCAGTGGGCAGATGCACAGAGGAAGAGAGGAAATTCTTGTTTGAACACAGAGCTTCTCATGATTTCCGGTCTTCGGAATGGCCCAAATTGTTCAGCGTTCAAACAGCTCCACGCAGCATTATATAGCGAATCATAGAATCTATTATAGAATCAGTGTTCGTTTGAACCTCTGTAGCTCTTGTGATCTCTTCTGAAAGCCAGAAGCGGACTCCCATCACCACTAAGTCCGCATTCCCGCTCTGTGGGAGCGCTTGGGTTCACTTATGTAGCATCATGTAGTGCTTCGGGAGTGAAGGACGGCGCCAAAACTGTTCCGGTGGAACCCGGTTGGATCATTCACTCCCAGATCATTCGAAACAGGCAAAACGACCGGTTTGCGAGCGAACACGATCTTCAGATCTGTTGAACGATCAATCAAGCTTTGAACCGAGCACCTTAAACCCACGGCCCACCCCCTCACCTTCCAACGGCTCGACCCAGAAAATACACAAACCCCCGCGGCTCCAAACAAACTCCGGCTGTACGTCCTGTGGCGGCACAGGGCACTGCCAAGTCCTTACACCACTTCTACACCGCCGTCGTGAGAGAGGAAAAGCCGCTTGGAGGACTTCTATCGGGGATCACGGCGGGGGACGGGCTTTTCTTGGGACACGGATGGCCTGCCCCAATTCACGCGGGCGTGACGAGAAGTGGACCACGGAAGAGCCATGGTTCGGCGTGAAGAGGTCATGTCCTTGAACTCTTCTTTCTGGAAGGCTCATCTGGACGATGGACCGACGAAGATGACACATGCGACGAAACGTAAGGCGGCCAGGCGGCCGGAAGAAAGAAAGCATCCGTCCAATCCATGGGGACGGCCGTTCTTGGACGGTACATCTTGGTCCACGCAATGCGTGCCGAAGGTCGCGACCCTTGACCCATCGCTTCGATGCATCGATGCGTTCCAAACTTGGTGGTGGGAGGACCTACCTTTGGCAGTTCCCTTTGCACCACTTATCATTATATTGCTTTGTGCCGCAATTTGGTCATCACAGGCCCCACGAAAACGGCAAAGCACCGCGTCCGCTGGAACCATTTTTGGCCGCAGTATCACCTGGTCTACACTTGCACATGGGGTTTTCAGGCCTGAAAGATCATGGCTTGGCCCATCTTAGCCGTACATATCCCCCCTTGTTGTGCTCAACCGTTTGCCAGATTCCTCAGAACTGAGCAACTCCAAATGAACTCAGCAGCACTGCTCCTCCCCAACTTGTGACCCTTGACATGACCCTTCTTCGCCCGCCCTCCGTCCAACGACACAGTCCAACGACACACGGCCGAGGTGCTTTTTGGAGCTGAAGGGTTCACGACTGCAGCGCTTTGTTGAGCTGGTACGTATCCACTTGCGCTGCTCAGAGTGATGGGATGGGTTCGGTGATGGGATGGGTCGAATGAGGGTATTAACAAACAGCGAAGCAGCTCGGCCAAGGTTGGTTGCGAATTGGGAACCTTACAAGCCCCACTTTGGACTAATCCATCGCAGGGCATCGCGCTCAAGAGTCTTTTTACGGTGTGTACGATGTTACCACTGGTCCCTGGTTGGTACAGGACAACTCCAACTGAGTCCATGTTCACCATGGTGGAGTCCATGTGTACGATGTGCCCTACCCTGTTGACCCGAAATCTGGACCAAAACATGGAGACCCACGGGCCCGCAAAGATCTCATTTCCACCTCATGTTCCGAGGCTTCCGGAATAAGGAGGGCAAGTTTGAGGGAGTTGAAGATCGATAGCGAGTGGGGGACGCCCAGGGCTGCACAGGGGCTGCGGTTTTCTCGGCGGGTGGCCAGCTGGGGTGACATGGGGTGGGACGTGGCGTGATCAAACAGCGGGTGATGGGGCGTTCAAGAGCGAAGATCATAAAAAAACGCCGGTCGAAGCAGGGTGATGAGAGTTTCAACGGGGAAGAAAGCCAATGCTAGAGTCTGCTAGAGGATTGGGGAGAGTTGAGTGTCCAATCTGGATATTTCATGCAATCTGGCAAATTTGCCTGTTTTGCCTGGTAGTCACGCAGTCCTCAAGTGTTCAATCGGCGGGTGCTTTGGGACAGTTGTTCAGGGCAAGAAGAGATTGCCGGCACTGCTCAGTGCTCAGGTGTCTTAACGAATCTAGAGTTCTATAATATATATATATATATTGAACTGGGTTTCATGCGGGCCCCCACTTCCTTCATATTCAGCCATTCCAACCGTTGAAAGCTGAGCTCAATAACCTGGTGTACTTAGATGGAGCCAGCAAGAAACGGTGTCTTGTGCATGCAAAGCAGTTTCTAAGAGGCATACGCACGGTCTTTTGACAATTCATGCCACAGTAATTCATTCATGAATTAGCAGCCTCCTTCATGAAACCCCCCCACAAAATTGAACGTTCACTTTTTGAGTGAATACATACGACAGGGCATGCTCACCAACCCACAGTAAGGAACTGAACACCGCCTTTAAAATGGGCAGGCACACTTTTTCCACAGATGCCTCAAGAGATGAATTCTGCACCAAATCCCCTACATTGAGAATGAATGCATATGAATGCAGAGACCACAACTCTAGAACCACCTGGCTACCTTACCCCAGCCTGTCCCATGTGCAAAGAATGTGCGAACCCTAGCCTTCCAAGACCATTAAATCATTAAACGAACGGTTGACCAGGTGTAGTGTAAAATCTTGGTACTGTAAAACCATGGTTGTTCGGTAAAGGCCATTCAATCAATGGTGGTTGGAAGCGGAGGACACAGAGCCGACCAGCCATCTTCCGACGTTTCGGTGCGTGGTTTTCGTTTCCTTGGGCTGCAGCCGGGACGATGCGGCCAGGATGACTGAAGAGGGGCGACAACGGGAGCGGAAGCAGCTCCTAGCCATGGTGAGGACCCAAGAGGCCAAGAGGTGGGTGACGACCTTCGCAGGGTGCGACAGCTGGTTTCCAACGGCATTGTTCCAGGGATCTGGTTCCGAAGGATCTTGGGCGCCTCATGGAACGCCGCTCGCGCCGGTCTGCGCGTTTTTTCCAGCTGGGATGTCCGCAGTTGCCAGTTTAGATCGCTCGGCTTTCGGCTTGAGGTCATGCGACTGCAAGACCAGGGGAACTGGAGAGCAGTCCCAGCCTCAGGTCACGTGCAGGCTTAGGGAGTGACAGCGTTGGGCTGAGATGGGAGGAGAATCTATCTTGGGGGGGGTAACTGCAAGGGGAGAAGAGCGTGCACTTTTCAGTTGGAAAACGTTGATGCGAGGCGCTTTCTCGCTGCTTCGAGACCAAGTTCGGTATTGCGCCGGAGGCCGGAAATGGGCCAACGCACGCAACAACTCGGGACAAAAGAGGCAAGGAAGTACCGCCCTCCACACTCCGGTTTCCAACATGGCGGATTTTGTGATGAGGAATGATAGGTTCTGGGTTTGACAGTCCCATTCCCAGCACTGCGTAGTAGAGCTGTTTGTTTATTCGCAAGCCCCATCAGCATCGTCATCATCCTCAAAGCCGATCCTCATCCCCCTCATCTACCTACGGGTGTTGGGTTTGTGGGATTATGTAACCCAAGATGTATCCAATATTATCAAATTCTTAATTAGGTTCATGCTTTTCTTCTTGGGGTGTGTGGTGTGGAAGCCTCAGGATGACAGCAAGATAAGGACACATTCAAGTAAATCATGCTTAACCAACCTTGTGAACAGCGAGGACAGCAAAGAAAGGCCGCGGCGGCTTCCTGTGAAAGAGACTCTTTAGCATTCATTCATGAAAAATTTTTGGTTAAGAAGTCTTAAGAACAGTTGGAAAGAACAAATGATGCTAAACTGATAGCACCGGTGATTACAGGTGTGTGTGTTTTTAAATCCTTTGGATGCTCAAGAACAACCACTGGTGGCCAGCAACAGACAGAGGTCCAATCCAGCCTCTTCTATATCGCCACCGATGCATCTTGGCGCTGCACGAGTTCGCGCAGTCGTGCAGTGTCTTTCCATCTTCGATACCCCTATGTTGGTAGGATCACTAGAAACTACCTCACAGGCTTGTTCCAAAGAACTATCCGCGGCTCAAATTGGGCCGCGGAGCTTTTTTTGTTGGACATTGGTGGCCTTTGGCTGGCACAAAACTGCACCATTGCAAGACTGGCCACTCCACCGATCAGGAGGACGAGGGGCCTGACTTTAGGACCTGGGGCTTGTGGACGGCCCGACGCGCCGGAGCGTCGTTCGCATCTCCGTTCTGTCTCACCTGCCGTTCGGAGCACGAAACACAGCAGATCCCAGCACGGGTTTCATGAGGAACACGGAGGAGGTTTCGCACCTTAAAAGGGAGGACTTGTGCAGACTCAAAAGCATTCGAACAAGATGTGATCGCAGGTGATGCGAGACTTGTGCTCATTTGGCACAAGACTACGGTCAGCAGAAGGCTGAGAGAGCTTTCCCAGTCGACATGCGCAGCCTGAGACGTTACCCTGGGAATCAATGACGATAAAAAGAAGGGTCTGGCGAACGGTGACCCGAGGTTTAGGATTTTCCAATGTTTTTCTTTCTTCCGCAGTCGGTCAACATAGAGTCTGACTGGGACGACTCTAGGGGTTAAGTCATCTGTGATTCTTACACCGCACGAACGGGGTCCCGTTGTGACTCGCGTCGCCATGGCGGTGGATGTGCCCCTCGTCGAGCCGGACGAGTCGATGGAGGAAGAGGAGGTCCTTGCTTGTTCCTTTGAGCCTCCTGGCCGAGGAGTGAACGTTTCAGGTGTTGAGGCTTTTCGTGGGAGGCAATTTTGGTCCTGTGATGCTGCAAGCTCATACGCCCTTGTACACCTAGTGAAGTCCCATGATCAGTGAGTAAGGCCATGTAAGGCCACAATCGGCACAGTATATACCAGGACTGTTAATTAACAACTGATTACCTTTAGTAGAGGTTCCTACGAAGCATCTCGTGCAGGAAGGTAATCTGTTTCAAGGGGAGCCAGTCGTGATCGTGGTGTTTTGTGCAAGAGGGATTTGGGCCCCATAAAATGTAATAAATAACCATGCTGAACCATGCTATAACTGAATCATCACAACACGTTATTTTTACAGCTGATCCATGCTGATCCTTATGTCTTCTGGTGGGTCCAGGTGGATCCCTTTTCTTGAGACCTCTGGCATCAATTCCCACTGCATGTGGGAACACCTCCCGGGTTGAATTGTCTCATGGCATCCTTTGTTTTTTTCCTATGTTTTTGAAGCCGCAGTCGCTTCATGTCTAAGTCTAAGGTCTTGGTTCCACTTGCTCCTTGGCTGAAAGGAGGCCGTGCTGACTTCAAGGATTCAAGGGGTGCTCTTCACACCAGTGGTTGTTGCACGCAGCGCAGCGCACGAGGTTCAAAGATTGCACCTTTAAAAGCGAGATCATCCCTTTGCCAGAAGACTTTGTCCGCTACCTGCTGGCGGATGGCCCTTCTGGCTCAACTTTCTTTTTGAAAGGCCAAGGAAATTGAAGGCTTTCCAGTTTCCAGCACCTTTTGTTAAGACTATTTGTTGCTGGCATCAGTGGCATGAAGTTTGTGAAGGGTCTAGACACACCTTCAACCCCACCCGGGGCAGGACAGCCCCCCACCTACTGATACCTCCAACTTCGCTGCCCGATGTTCGGGACTTTCGTATGCCGGGTGGGGAGGTTTTGAATGGTTCTGATATGTCCTCTCATTGGCCGAGCCTGGCTACCACCGGAGTGCCCTACGAGCAGAAGACTCACTCCCAAGCCCCCTCTGCCAGGCATCCATGTCCCCAGCCACGCAAGCCGGCCGCGGCCCGACGACGCGGCCAGCAACGGCAGCTGGGGCTCGGGGGGTGACTCCGACGAGGATCCCAGCGGAAGTTTCGACTTCCCAGCTCTCGAAGAGCAGGTCCGGTCGGCCATCCAACGGCTGAACGGCCAGGTGCGGCGATGGCCGGCGTGCGGAGCGGAAGCTTTCCGGTGTGCGGAGAGATCTGTGGGGGAGACTCCGTGTGAACGCATGTGTGGGATCATGGGGCACGTCTTGGCCATTGGCAATCCGCCAGAATATGATATATGTTGGGTCTGTCGAGTAAACAATAATAACTACTTTGGGACAAGGCCTCTACTAACCATCATCGTCCACTGTTACAGGTAATAGGGTAGACCCAAGATAGATGATATATCGTGTTTGAAGTGGGAATCCTACGGATTCCACTTAGAATCACTCGTGTGGTGCACTTCCTCTTGACCTTGTAGGACCTTTCTCTGCCCCAACGTCACACGCAGGTGCTGCCGAAGCTGAACTGGAGTGCTCCCAAGGATGCACGATGGATCCATGGAACTCTGAAGTGCTGCAACCCCTCAGAAGCCTTTGAGCTGCAGCCTGCTGTGCGAGTGATGACAGAGGGTGCAAAGATGAAGACCAGATGCCAAGTAGGGTCCAAGTGGAAGTGTTTTCAAATATGAACAACCTTTTGGTAGGGTAGCTGATAGCTGTGAACAAGTGTCTCAGGCTGTGATCATGTATGATCATGTGTTGTTTCACTGGTATGGGTATTACGTGAGCTTCTGGCCGCGCCCTTCTTCACTCTCCGTTGAAGTCTTCGGTTAGACCTCTACACCACCCAGACACCATCCGCCTGCGATACCTCAGCGACCGACGACTCGCCCTACACCACTCAGGTCTTCACGGTTCTCAAAGCGTCCGACTTCATCTCGCACGACCTTTGCAACGCCTTCGACCATTGCAGCTGCTCCCGGAGCGAATTCATATGACTTATATATGACATCTTATGACCAGCCGGTTGTTCCATCATTCGTTGGACGAGCAGGGCAGTGCGGGTGATGTTTAGGGATGAGTCAGCCAGCAAGCATGTGCACGGTTGACGCCGTAGTACACTACACGAAGAAGTGGAGGTGGTTTTGGAGTTCCACATTACGATGCATGAGGTCATCGTTGTTCGATGCAACAGGTTTCTCACGTCCGCACGTCCCTGATAGGACACGGCCGGAGAGCTTCAGCCTGATTTTGAGGCGCTGGCATTCACTCTACGAGTCGAGTGAGCCCCTTCGACCTTGCTGGACCGGTTCTGGGGGGGTTCTGTGGGATCCTGCACCTCCAAATCAACCGATCGCGGTAACGCGCGGATCGCAGTAAGAGGGTATGTTGGAAGCATGGAGCATGTCTCTTGACTTGATGGGATGCGGGATGGCCCTTGAAACAAGGTCCCCTCCTAGCAAGGAGGTCCTTGAGGATTGAGGATTGCAAGCACTCATTTTTCAGAAGACCATCGAACACCATGACGTAGGGGGTTGCAGTGGGCATTCATGCATGAAGTGACCCTGGAGAAAAGCAGAAAAGCAAACGCAGGTGGATCGGAATGGCCCCACGAAACCACACCCTTCTCACTTTGCTTGGCCAAGGTTCAGGACCTTCATCCGAGATGGGCGCTTGATGGCAATCTCGCAGCGACAAACCTCAGGATTCTTCGAGCATTTGTTGAAGGAAGATGAGGTCGAAGAAATCAAGACTGCCATCCGGAACTTTTTCGAGGAGAAGGCGCAGTGTGGAAGGTTGCGGGACCATCTTGAAGCCAAGAGCTAGAGCCCTGAAAACTATTCAAAATGAAACCTCCAGAAACGGTCAAACAATGAGATCAGGAGATCTGATTCAGTCAAACACGTGCTTGACATGTGCGGTTCCAGCATGTTCCAGCCACATGGGAAGAAAGAGACTGAGAGCTTCTGTTGACCTCCCCCCCCAAAAGGCACCTGTCCACTCCACCCAGTGGGAACCGTACTTTCTCTGGAACTAACGTGGTTACGTGGAGTTCACCACCTGCTTCCATGTTAGTTTCGGGGAGTGTACAGAAACATGCCTGACTCGGAACGCCCCCTTCAGGTGCGTGGGAGGTTTCCTCTCCGTCGCTATGTGATGGATCTCTATGTGGACATCCCTCCGCGGCGCAAGGTTTGGTTGGTGGACTTCTCCCCCTGGGGTCCCACCACGGAGCCCTTGTTGTTCGACTGGTCGGAGCTGCGAGCAGAGCTGCGAGCGAGCCGAGAGGAGGAGGAGGACCCGGTGCTGCGGGTCGTGAGGGATCAAAGCGAGTGTCATGGCAAGCTTGAGAGCTTCCATCAGGTGGGGGACCGGGTAATTATGCTGGATCGGGTCGGGTCAAGATAGGTCAACTCACTCGTGTCTACCATGTGGCCAGGTTAAAACATGGCTGCTCGAGAATGTTCCTACTGCCCCTTCCCGCCACAACAGTTTTGTAGTGCCAGCTGCATCTCTTGCTGCATGTAACCATAGAGGCCCCTCTTGTACGTTTGTGTCTTTGGACCGTCTCACTCCAACCAAAAGTACCCGCCGGGGTCAATCTTGTTTTGAGTGTGGCACATCAATCTTGTTTCGATGTGTTCTCTCATCACATCACGCCTTGTGGGCCCAGCTTCGTGGAGTAATACACATCCAAGATTATCCAAGACATTCCTGAGACTTTCTCATGAAAACCATGCTTTTGTGGCGAATCCCGTCGATCTCGGACTGCCAGGTGCCCTTAGAGCTTGCAGAGCTCAATAGCCAGGAAGGTCTGAACGAGCTGCTCGAAAAGGCGGTGTTTTCCGGGTGCCGCGGGGGGTGTTCGTTTAACTCTGGGGGTCTGGGTCTGGGGGTAGAGCCTTGTTCTGTTGGGATGTTGTGCCCTTTGGGTATGGTTGGCTCAAACAAGTGGAGTGCACCTCAAGGCAAGAAAAGACGCTTGGACTGCAAACTCCTGGTGTCGGATGGGGGGGGGGCCTCCTGGTGTCGGATATGATCATCCTACAGTGAACAGAACAGACTCGAACAAATTTGGGTGCTTGTATTCTGACCCACGCCCACTTTTTGTTGTTTTTGGGGGTGGATGCTGAGGTGGCTTGGCTTTGGTGTGGTTGGCATTGGGTAACACCAGGGTTGAAACAGGGTATATATCGGTATATGCTGTCTGTGCTAGTGGGTAGCATCGTGCAGGCAGCATGGATGTGGTGAGGGAGATGCTGTTCTCCACGTGGCCGTGCCCATCAATTTTTGAGAAGAGGAGCCATCCTATACACTCCGACTCACTAACATGGAAGTGGAAAAGCTCCTGTTCGCAAAGGAACGTAGTCTTCCAAGGGATCATTTTCCACTTCCATGTTAGCGAGTCGGAGTGTATATATATATAGAATTTGTTGCAGGCTGACGGGCAAACTCTGTAAAGACCAATCCAAGAGTTCAAACATCAAGATCATCAAGGTGCAAGACTTTCAAGTTGGCCTCACCACATGGACCAGGCAACTTCAAGGATCCCCCTTGTGAGGGCTGTTTGCCAAGCGTGCGAAGCGTTTGCTGCCCAAATTGAGCGAGTAACAAGATCCTTGCTTCCTTGCGTCCACATATCAAGTAGGGTCAGTGACCTTGGTGAACACATGCCGATCATCTACGCTGCCTCCATTCCAGGCGGAGCGAGTGCTGGCGCAGAAGGAGAAGGAGCATGAGTGAGTGAAGGAAAGCCACCGGCCACGCGCAAAAGAAAAGACCACCAAACGCGCTGAGACTGTTGGCTGTCGGAACCCTTGCAAAACCTTTCCGTTTTAGGCAACGGAGTCACAGGTGAGGCTTCTTCATGCTCAGGGTGTGCATCAGACGATCCTATTCACTCTGAGGGCCACCATATCTGCCTCCGCTGCAGCTGTAGACGGTCCAGATGAGGCATACAAGTACGAGGAGTATAGCGCGGACTCTGAGACGGTGCCCGACATTTTAAGCACCTACAAGACCCACATCGTTTTCCTGACAGTCAAGGACCCGTGTGGGGTTTAGCTGGGGCATCCGGCAACAGTCAGGAGTTGGCCTAGAGATTCACCCTGCTGCTGACTACTCTCCTTTAAGTTTTCAGCCCCAGCTTGACACCCTAAGGGCCCCCCGTGCCTGTCCCCGTCAGGACCGAACACGGTCGGAGCTGCAAACCTTGGGCTTGCCCGACGGCAAGGACGACCGAACACGGCCGAACACGCCCAAGGGAACGGTCGGGAGGCTTCTTGGATCGCCCACGGGCTCCCGGCGGGCGCTGAAAGGAAGAACCAATGCCAATGCCACATTGAATGCTTTGTCATTACAAGGCCCAGCCTCTCCATCTTTGTCCTCCTCTCTCCCTGCGCCTTTCTTCAGGTTTCATCGCTCCTTCTCCTGCGCCGCGCGCCTCCCCTCACTCCACTCCGGCTGACTCCACAGGACTTTACCACGCAGGATGGGAAGATGAAGTGGCCTGGCTTCTGGATAGCGGCGGATAGCGGTGGCGAGCTTCCTGGTTTGGGGGGAAGAGTAGAGGTTGAGGTGGGATTCGGAAGTTGGGGGCACTTGGTGCTGAACATGAGCGTCGTTTTTTTCTGTAGATACACTCCTCCTTGTGCTGATCTGGTGTTCAGATGTGCTCTTGAGGGATCTGCTGGGCAACGGGGGGGCTGGTGCCTTGATGGGTCGTACTTGATTGACGGGCGTCAAACATGGATGGAGAGTCCGCACCTGCATCCCCATCGTTCAACGCAAAGCAAACCAGAGGTTGATCAACCACTTAGAGTATATACCCCCGGCGCTTCTCAGGAGGCCAGAATAGTTTACAAAAACCTCCTAGCAGTTGCGGGCACATTCAGGCCTTTTTCCGGAAAATGAACGATGCCGATCTTTTTCTGGAACTGCCCCATCGGATGGGGTTTGATTTTAGAGCAAGAACTGCACCTCTCCTTTTCCGGCATCTCCATCCACTCGCTTGGAGCCATCGTTCCAGGTGGGTTTGGTCTCCGGCCGGGTGCCACGTTCGCGTGCGGGCGCGGGTGGGTGAAGTGGCGACGGCGGGGGTGCTGTGATGGCACCAACCCTAAACCCTAAACCGCCTAAACCCTAATGAAAAGGCCTTGTTCAATAGCATCCACGCAAGCGTGGAAGGCTCAAGACACAACAAGACACAATGTAAATCTTTATCACTCGGGGATTGCCACCCCCTCTCTCTCACACATCTCAATAGGATCACTGGGACATCCACACCATCGAGAACCAATATAGAACCACAAGCAGAATACGGTACGTAAGGAATGCAGTCTAGGGCATATGGGGTAACTAATTAGTTGTTGCTTTTCTTGGGATGGATGCAGGATGCATATATGACTTTGGCGAATCCCAGGACCCATACCCCATGTGGCTAGTGGAAACTAGACACCGCTCCTTCACTTAGGTCTTGAATAGCAAGGAGGATGACTTGATGCAGCTCCTGCAGAAACACGGTGCGCTTTTGGATGCTTTAGGGTGCAAGATCAAATATATATATATATATACACACATGTGCCATTGGCAATTAGTCTTGTGCCGCCGTCCCCTGGGCTTTCAATGATGAAACAGCCGCAAACACTCTTCCCCCCTCCGGCATGCGTCCATGCCTGGATCTCTCCGCTAGGCATCGATATCTCTGAGTTCACCTGGCAAAGTTTCGCTGAGCTCTACACGGAGGCCGAGCTCGGATTGCATTGGTGGAGTGACAATGGAGTTGCCATGAGGTGCATGGTTGTTCAACGCCTCCCTTGGTGAATCTGCATACTAACCCATATGCAAGTGATCCAAGCCACCACGCGCTGACCAGACCCCAAAATATGAAGCAAATCGATCACCGCCAATGGACCACGCGTTGGCCGAATTGAAATCCCACGTGCCCAGAGACTCCTCTGCCTCGCAGGTTTATGAGGAGAGTTTGTCCACTGTGGACGTGGAAGAGGACCAGTTGGTTCGACGAGTGACCTGGCGTTGGTTCGAGAGATCCGGGCAGTTGGAGATCAGACCGGTGAAATGGAACACCCTTTCAATGTGTGAAAACTTGTGGGGGCCTTACTATATCAAGAGACAAGGGATATATTCAAGAGCCAACAGAGGTTAAGTGACCTGAACTACGACCCTACCAGGGTACCGAACTGGGATAGCCTCTAGGGTTCTTCAACCTCGGAGTGTACCTTCGAATCTGACCGGACACCGCCTGCCCTGGCCATGGGCCCGGGCAGTGACCCGGCACCGTCCTTGGCGCCCGCGCCCGGGCACCCTGGTGGACCCCGGGGCAAACGAACAGATTCCCCGCGTCGTTCGTACCATGGTTTGGTGAGGGAGGTGCCATGACTCATAGCCAACAACAAGTAGTTAGTATATTGCTACCTGTTCCTTCTTTCAATTGTACCACAGGTCTCGGACATGAACTAGAATATACCAAACGAATATGACCGAATATGTTTTTTCTAGTTTTTTTTTTTCTATGGGCCGAACGGACCACGGGCGTCGTGCTCGATCAGCGCGATCCTGCGTTAGTACGTGCTCCTGTCATCCAAGGTGAGCATTGTCAAGGTTTGGCTGGAAGCGAATGTCTTCAACGAGAAGTTCCTTGGGCTGATCTGCATGCCGAAAGCTGTTGAAGGGTCTGAGGCTGAAGGGTAGCCATCAGAGGTGACCATATACAACCAGATGCTGGGAAAAGCAGCCTCAGTAGAATGGATGTTTGAGATGGTCATTTGCCTGCCCTCTCTAGCAACCCTGCAGACGTTGCAGATGGTCCTGCATGAGTTCTTTTTTTCAGAGATTTATTCTCCAATTACCAGGTGAGTGCCACGTGCGCCCTGCGGGAGGGGAGGGTCAAGCGTGCTTTTGTTGCGGCGCGGCCCATGAGAAAGACTCAGGCATGTATTGGTCATCAAGACCAAGCAGCAGAGAGGCTCCAGGGCGGACATGACAGACCTATTGACGGATCATTGGATCCATAATCGTGCAGGATGTCAGAGAGAGAGAGAGAGAGAGAGCGCAACATTGTCAGGACGATGTCAGAGCTGCATGAGGGAAATCTCATGAGAGTCTAGAGACCAAGCCTCGGATTTTACCAATCTTTCCAGCCCTTTCAGGGTGCTTGCCAAGCCAATTGGTGAAACATAGATGCCCCAAACAGCTGCCTGGCCGGTCCTTCCCACCCGCACCGATCCGCGTGGCCAGGGCGGACGCAGAACTTCCGGAAGCTCCGGACCTTGTCGATGCGCATGCGCTCGCTGCAGACCTGGAATGAAGCTGTGGCCGAGGCAGGGGGCCCGCGGGTGGGGTGGATGGGGTGGATGGGGTCGGTTCAAGAGACGGTTATACTGTTGGGGGTGTCCCAGAAGAAGCTGTAACAGCCGGTAAACCAGCAAGAGAAACTATGTTTTCGAGATTTCGGTCGGCAACTGAACCAGCATCATCCACGGTTCACAGGGATTAGGATACATATCCATGTAAGGATCCTATAACTCTTGATTTTGAAAAACCACACCATTTGCATGGTAAAACCTCTTTCAGATGAAGAAATATGCAGAAGTGTTTGGGGGGCCTCCTTCCAAGCATGAAACACGGGTTCCGCTCCTTGAAATAATCATGGTGACAGTGGAGTGAAAAGCACCTGTTTTGATATTCGGATTGAACCTGGTCATCCGAACCTCGGGACCCCACTTCCATGATTCCAGGCAGGGAGTTTCTTATGGCTTGTTCATTTTGAAGAGCTCAGCCCGGCTCGATTTTTGTGAACTTGAGGAGTGGGGCAGGTGCCACACATGCAACGGCGCAACGGCTAGGATGATTGAACTTCAAGGGAAAGAAATCACTCCGGAGCAAGAGAAGTTTGGCAGCTGGACCGGCGGCTGGACCGCCGGTAGGACAGTCCAGCCAGAATCCAACCTCCACGGTCGGCGCCTCGCGTTCCGATCCATGGGGTGCCCAGTCAGGCGCTCTTCCTGCGGCTGGGCATTTCGGCACAACAGCAGCAAGAGACCTTGCATATCTACTTGCTAGAGACGCGGGAGGAGGCCGCACGCTTTGCACGGTTTGGTGGGGCGGGGCGACCGTGGGCGGTTAGGTTCGAGGGCGGGTTGACCGGTCAAGCTATGTGGGGCAGACAAGATGGCAACGGGTATCTTTTCATGTTGCGATGCCTTCCAATTTTGCAACTCCAACATGTTAGAACGTCGCTTGTTTGAAAGTCGAGCACTAGAAAGCACGCGCTCCCATTGAAATGGATTCTCCTCAGAAAAGGCCTGCCAGTTTTGAGTCTAGTCGAGCCTAGTCCTTTTGCTTGCTCTCCTAGATCTTGCCAGACGCTTCTTCCTTTCCGCGAGGTGGAATTCTCTGTGAGCTTTCCTGGCCTCAAGACGGTGTACACCATCAGTGACTGGGCAAAGCAACATGTGGAGTTTCGACTGGGTTTGGTGAGTTTGGAGGGTTCAATGAGCCACCATGTTCCTGATCCCACCTCACCTCTCAAAGCTTCGAAAACGAAGAGATTGTACGGGGAAGGGGCAATCATTTGCGAGAAACCCTCAAAGACAGGACTGGCTGCAAGGTGGCGGAATTGTTCAGGCTTAGACTTGCTACGCATATCCCTTGAACAACCATAGTTCATCAAGCGGAGACTCTTGTCTCACGAGCTTCCAGTTGGCTTGGCCTGTGAGCCACCGCCCCCTCCTAGGTGAGGTCCAGTGCGAGATCTTGAACCCTCAGGAGAGCCAGATGCAACGCGTTCTCGGCGGGGAATTCATGACTCTGAATGAATCAATCACCCCTCAAAATGAAGAGCAATCCATGTCTAGGGAGGTGAATGAATCAAGAGTCTAGATTCATCAAGAGCCGGAGTCGTGCTGAGGACCTGGAACTTCGACACCATAGACGTCCCATTGATGTTCTGATGTTGGAATGGCACCGCACCAAAGGTCAGAACATGTCCCAACAGGCGATCGGTGCTTTTTTTTGTTCCCCGATGTTTTGCATATCAAAGTGGACACTCAGAGAGTGATACACCTGAACAACCACAGTGCTGAGTGATACACCACTGAAGGTGGTGGTCCACAAAAATGGGAAGTTCTGCATCGGACTGTTTGATGGCAGGATGCGTTTGCCAAATTGAACGACTTGTGCCACTGGTGCCCTCTCAGTTGACCACTGGATTCCTGTGGCCGCCTGTGGCCCCACCATCCCAAGCATCAAGGCAGAACAAGGAATTCTCTCGTTGTCATTTTCCGGAGACTCCTACTAGCTGGAGCCATTTCACCAACCTGAGTCTTAGCAGCACCAACACGCCCGGCGGCACTTCCTCCACCGGCCCCGCCGCAGTGAGTCTACAGGATCAGAGATGGCAGTCCATCGGTTTGCCCGCAGCCAACGACTTCACCTTCTCCCGTCAGGAGCTGCTGAAGACGCGGTCGGGGCGTCTGGCCGGCGTGGGCCAAATGGGGCGGTGATGGCATCCAAGTCTTCAGAAGTTTGAAGAGTTCGGAAAGGTTCAAAAAGTTATATATATATATATTTAATAGGGGATGGAATTTCCTCTATAGAATCGCGGGGGTTGGGTCCCCGAAAAGACCATTTTTTTAGCAAGTTTTTCTTGGCTCATATGGAGCTTGTAAAGTCCTGTCCTTCAAGAGCCTCGATTTTATAGAAAATTGTTGTTTTTTACAAGCTTGATTCTATAGAGGCTTGATGAGGCTTGTAAGTATAGTGAAGGGATTTTGGATGACTGGGGCATACCGATTCTATAGGGAATGATTTCTATGATTTTGGATGTCATGACCCGCAATTCTATAGAGATTGCTTTTTCTTGGCTTGATTCCAATTGGGATTGCTCAAAAGAACCCTGGGGAATGGGTTCTTGAATGAGTCAGGATGACGCATGATGACGCTAGCAAATTTGGAGCATCCTAGCAAGGGAACGCCTTGTATGAAATACATTGAAACACTTTGAAAAATCTTAATGCATCCTAATGCAATACATTTCAATTTCATTCAATTTCACTAAGATCCACAAGATGTGCGAACTATGGCTTTTTAGGATTGTAAGAATTTGCTTTGCCATTTTGGCATTTGCTGTGCGAACTATAAAATCAGAGATCATCACAGATCCTTACCTCTCCAATCCTCTCCATAACACCTGCTGTCTTCTCTATAGAATTGTGGTCCTACCAACTGGCAAATCAATACCTTCCTTTGAAATTGGAATTTTATGTTTTGTTGAGACCCATGGCCCTTGATTCTATACAGAAACAGGTTTTTTGAGACCCATGGCCCTTGACTAACAGAGAACCAGGTTCAGATTACAACTCGACAACACCTGTTCGGGAGTACCTTGGGACCCGCAGTTTTATAGACAAAAACCCTTAATATTCACAACTTTCAACAGCTTTTGACAGACTAATGGCCCTCAATTCTATAGAGCTGAATCTTTGTATTTGGGCTCTTTCCTATGTTATCCTCAATTTTATAGGGTCAAAAAGTGACCCTCATTGGAGGGGGGTTGGTCCCAGCATTTTAGCACTATAAAATCGCACCCCCCAAGGTACACACTTAATACCAACCCCGATTATATTTATATATAATGTTTGAAGAACATTGAATGATTCTCAGAGCAGCCCGAAGGCCCGAAGCCTTCTTTGAGATTGCAGCATCCATTTTGGAGCTTATGCTGCTTCGAGCAATCTTAATCTTGCCTTATATAAGCCTTCGATTACAGTTTGAATTTGTGCACTCCGCGTTCTTGGAAACGCCCTGAAGCTGTGTGATTGGACAAACCTTGGTGCCCAAACTTGCTCTAGGATGAAGATCTTCGAGAAGATCCAGGCAACCCCCCAGTAGATCAGGTCCAAATCCCCCCACCTCCCAGGAGCCTATTGCCAAGACCGGAGAGTTCGACACGGTGATCACCAGGCGGGGAACTGGGTGGTGACTGCGAACGGCAGCCTACGTTTGAGTGGATACCCGACCATCTCCTCAACTCATAGTAATCTCACGAAAAGAGGCACCTTCGTCTCTGGGTGGTTTTTGAGTTGTTTGGTCTTTATTTGGCGGGACCGGGTCAGCATCTTCAAGTTGAACAGCATCAGTAACCTCAGTTCCCATGTTCAACCGTGCCATTTCTACTGCGCGGCGCGATCTACAGCAGATCAACGATGGGCTCAACCAGGTTGTCCGGCGGTGTGGGGTTCTTCCTCGGCCACGGTGCCTGCTCAGGTGGGGCTGGACCAATTCGGCAGAGGTGGAGCAGCTGTGGCCGCATGGAATCTGCTTGGGATGAGCCGTGAAAAGGGGGTCAAAGGGGGTGAGATGAGGGTTCTCCACAGGGATCAGTAGGTGGTGGCTATATAATATACAGATATATACAGTATATAGATAGTAATATAGATCATAGATCATTATACATCCTTACTCGCTGAGTGGCTACTCTTTAAACTTTTGTTGCACCTTCAAAACCATGTTGGAAACCTGGGAGTGTAGAGTCCAAAAACCATCGCTCAGCCGACCTGGTTCAAGAGGAAGACATTTGGTTCCACCCGGCGTGCCAAGAAATCGATTATTGACTAATATTGGTCTAAACGAATCGTTTTGAAGCTGTTTGGGGTCTATGCTTGTATAATTGAGATGACAGGAATTTACACAAACATTGACATCACGAAAACTGTTCAAAAGTCTGGCATAGGCATTCTGCTTGTGGACGTAAGCTCCCCGTAGGCATTTTGACGCGCTGGTTTGTGGTAGGCGCTTGCCGTAGGCAACTTTTGTTCCAGATGTTTGCTTGCAGCAGTCCACCTTGACGTAGTCTAGGACATGGAGATTAGAAACTCTTGGGACATGTGCGCAGTGAACTCATGGCATGTTAGAGGCCATACATCATCTGCATGAACTGGCACCGTAGGCGAAAACGGTAGGTTTTGCGTAGGAGTCCCCGTAGGCGAAAATGCGTGTCGTGACCCTGGGCCCACTCTTTAAACTTTATCGATTTGTAGATGTGAAGTTGAAGCGTCAATGAGGTGGTACGGCGGCAGCAGTACCAGCACCAGTAGCAGCAGAAGCAACAGCAGCAAGCAGCCAACACCCAGCACAGTCGCCAGGAGTAGTAGTAGGAGCAGCAGCAGAAGTAGCAGTAGCAGTAGCAGTAGCTGTAGCAGCAGCAGCAGCAGCAGCAGCAGGAGCAGGAGCAGGAGCAGCAGCAGCAGCAGGAGCAGGAGCAGCAGCAGCAGCAGGAGGAGTGGGAGTGGGAGTGGGAGTGGGAGTGGGAGTGGGAGTGGGAGTCGGAGTAGGAGTAGGAGTAGGAGTAGTAGTAGTAGTAGTAGTAGTAGTAGGTAGTAGTGGGTAGTAGTAGGTAGTAGTAGGTAGTAGTAGGTAGTAGTAGTAGTAGTAGTAGTAGTAGTAGTAGTAGTAGTAGTAGCTGCTGAAGCAGCAGTAGCAGTAGCAGTGGCAATTGCAGTAGCAGTAGCAGTGACTCAACCTTGTAGGGAACAGGTTCGCCAACAAAGTTGAACCACAACCTCACGTTCGTAGGTTTCTCCGTAGGCAAAATTGCTGCACATGTGTGTCGTAGGTTCACGCTGTGGAAACGTAGGCGAACTGTAGACTTGGCCGTAGGCACCCTTCAATGATAATAGCCTTTATGTTAAAAAGAACATTGCTCAATTGGGCTGTTTTTTGGAAAATCGCAGAAACACCCGCTTTTAGCCCCCACCACACTCTGGGCAGAACTTCTTTCTGTTATGCAGATGGCATCCGGCTGCACTTGAGGCATGAAGCGCACGGCAAAGGACACAGGAAGCCAGGGCCCCATGCAGAGGGATCCAGGGCGACAGGACGCTTGCAAGGAAGAAGGACAGTTCGCATGACCGGATGTGTGATGTATGGAGGATTGCCATGTGAAGCTGACAGGATGCACCACGGCACGACGGGTCATGGCAACGACTCATGTGAGCCGTTGCCATTGGCCGAAGTACTCCTGGAGTGAAGAGCTTTTGTGAGAGGTTGTGCCCGTTTGTCATGTAGAACAAGAAACTCAGACATTTGGTTATATATCCAGGCCAAGCCTCCAGTTTGGTGAGACGAACCCCGGCCAATCTATGCAGCTATAGATGTAGCTATAGTGACTTTGAACCTTGCTCCATAGAATTGTTATATTGTTTAAAGTCAAATTGGTTGACTTAAGTTGACATATATGCTGCAGAAGAATTCCATTGTTTGCCAACACCCCGGCACGAGCAACGCGGCACCTGCGCCATCCACCAATCGTTTGGGGCGAACCTGACGAGGCCCTGCCCTTTCGATGGGGCACCGATCGCAAGGGTGGACTCCAATGACTTGCTGCAGAAGAAGGTGCCGGCTGAGACTGCGGCAGGGCGGCGGTTTGGAGGGACACCGGGTGCATGGCACAGGCACAGAGCTGCAGCTGGTTTGAGGTCATGAGTTAGGTTAGATCATGCCGATACTCCCCTGCAGATTAACATGGAACATCATGGACCCCCAAAACCTCTAGTGGTAGTGAGTGGTAGAGGAAAATGGTCGTCCACCGGTCAATTCTCAGGTTCCATGGAATTCTTTGCAGGGCCTATTCATTGATCAGTCGCATTGGTGTCACGGATCGGTGGCGCCTTGGCGCGGAATCCGGTCGACCAACGATGGATGAGACGGAACCGACGGAAGGGACGGAGAACTTGTCGTTCGCTGGCGCGAAGGACGTGGGGTTTCCGGAAGAAGACGACGTTCTTCTGCAGGATGGATGTGAAGTCTAGACACTTACAGTATACAGTCTAGACTTCGACGCCCATAGTTTTTGACACTTTTTGGACAGGTAGGTATTATAGCTGATGACATGTTTTTGACATGTTTTGACCAGGGACGGTGGACGCTCCCCTTTCCGAAAGGGCGGTTGCGGCGGTTGAGTCTTTGTCAGGTGGTGCCTCCGGAGCCTTTGCCTGTCAGCGGGGCCTTCAGAGAACTGCTGGAACAGGTTGTGTCCCAGGAAGGCCTCCTCAGAAGAAAGAGCAGCAGGGATGAGCTGAACTCCCGTGAGAGAATTGAGAGAAGTGTTGGTCGAAATATGTCGAAATAGATGAAAGACTCTTGGTGAATATCCCACCCATGTGAAGATGCTGTTCAATCATGTTCAATCCAATTTCTTTTGGGGATCCAACTCGCTCTTGCCGGATGCTTTTTTTGCGGCAACAAGCTGCTCAGGTGGTCATTTCACTGTCGGGAAAGCTTTGGCAGCTTTGGGATCAGACTTCGCACCTGTTGTCATGTATCTGGCAAAAATTTGATGACACCCAGCCAAAAGAGGCGACGCCTCATGCACAACGTGACGTCCTAATCCCCTTGGGTCAATCGTAGCCCTGAGGTGGCAAAGACGAACTCCTCATCATGAGAGAGCGGCCCTCAGATCGAAGTGACGAGTCGGTGCGGAGCACCGCGGCAGAGGCACCGATCTGGTGAGCACGACTGGACACGAGGGATCAGGTTCATCCCAAGGCTCTCTACCAGACTTAGGTTGTTAGCGATATCTAGTGATAATCCTAAGCAAGGATATTGGCTCAGTTGGACTCGAGAAGAAAAGGACGCCAAGGCTTGGCAGAATGATCATACATCATCATACATCTATTTCGTATCATACATTTACCGTATGTCTTGAAACATAGAGGAACCCCCCAAACCACCAAAACCACCCCAACTCTGATCGGCATGGCATATATGGCAGTCCGGATCGTCGTGCCTGGGTACATCTATTTCTTGAGCCCTCGATGCCAGGAGCCCCGTTCGTAGCGTCCATGGCCCTTTGCCCTTTGTCTATGCCATCCAACAGAGGTGGAACGTGACCGTAAATAGGACCCTACTGGGGCACCGAACTGGGATAGTCGAACAGTCGGGTTCTTCAACCTTTGCTGGATCCGTTTCGCGTCTTCGACGCCGCACGCGCACGGCGTCTTCGGCCGCTCTGAGGTCATGGACGGCAAACAGACGGACTGGGCGAGGGCTCGTTTGGGCACTCGGAGTTCCACGGTTGGTTCGGCCGAAGGGCTCGGACGAGGCACTAGTGTGACCCGGCAGTTAGGCAGACAGCTGAAGCTAAGTCACTGGTGGCCACAAGTCCTAAGTCACCGGTCCCCAGTATACGCTTTATATCCTTCCAAGTCCAAGATGTTCACTAGATCTTATCTCGTACCTTTCCCCTTCTTCTCTGATCCATTCTGCTCTAAACTGTGACATGCAGACCTTGATTTTCACGTGCCCCCCCCTCCCCCACACAACCAATGCCACGGCTGGAAGAGATTGCAGTTCCAGGCGCTGGGCTCATTGGTTCACCAAGTCCTATCGAGTCGTATCGAGTCGTATTCACCCCGGTGTCTACCACTGGAAGCGGTGGAAGCACGAGGACCCGGTGGAAGCGAGACGTCGAAGACCAGATGATAAACACCCCGGCTTTTCCCACGGGGTAAAGACCTGCTCGAGGGTTTTGTTCCTTTGGTGAAAGTAGTTGGGTGAAAGAAAGAGTTTGAGTCATCCTTTCACCGGCTCAGCCCGGACCATGGCCGCCTTGGAGCTTTGCCCATCCAGGGACAGAAGGAGAGAAAGAGAGAAAGAGAGAAAGTGTGAAAAGTAAAGCTCCAAATTTAAGCGTATAACCATAAAAGTTAGTGAATTCAAAAGGTTTCAATCCCAAAACATCCAACAACTAGCACCTCAGCCTAACTGGTGTGGACTTCGGACGACTTCGGATGACAACATGAGGCTCCGCCTCTCTCCAGACCGCTCGACCCGTCCCCATGGTCCGGCCAGGTCGAGCCGCTGAACACATCCGCAGTGCGAACTACAACACCAAGGAAGGGGTGACGTCAGACGGTGAGTCCGCAAACTCTGGTGGAACAGCGGAAGTTGAGGGGCTGTGCATGGAACAGTGGAACCTCCCCTCTGGGTCTCGGAATGTCTTCGTTCGGGGCTCCGCCGGAACAAGGAACAACGGGGGGGACATGGTGCAAGGAGGAAAGGCAGCTTTTTAGGATTTCGAGATCATGAGAGTCCAAAGCCCGGAGCGTCAAACAGCTTCCAGGTAAAGACAAGCAACTCTGTGGAACGAAGACGAAGCAACTCTGTGGAACCTTCACATCGGCAACCGTGGAGACCAACAAATCGGGTCCGAAGAAGGGGGCAGGCGGCGCCAGGCGGCGCCAGGATTTTTGTGTTGGATGTTTTTTGTTTTTTGTGCGAGGACTTCTATGAGGACTTGGTGGCCGCGTTTCCAGAGCTGCGACTCTATTGTGCCCGGTGCCTCAGAGCTGAGCTTCGCCTCAGAGCTGGCACCAGACATGGATGCTTAGGGACAGAAGCGGAGACTTCGAACCTGCTTGGTACTGAGACATGCTTGGTCCTGTCTTTATGGAGCTTTTGAATCCCACTCCTCCTCCCATTTTGGGGCCACCGACTGGCTGGTGGCTGGTGGCCTCGCAGGTGGTGCGCGAGAACGGCGGCCATGGCGTGCTATTGCCCTCCTTGTCGACCTTGACCACCTCGGCGAGCCGGACAGGTGGGTGATGGGTGAGCAACGGGGTCCAAACGGACGCAACACGAAGGAAGGGCCGGAGCTGGGTGAAGGACTGGGAAGGGTCTCCCGTGATTTTGGCTGGTTTGTTTTGGGGGGTTGCCATTGGTGTCATTGTATTATAGGTGGTACATGGTTGTACCATGTTGCACATCTCCTTCAAGCTAAGCAGCTAGGTATTGTACTGTAAGTTCAACATTTATTGATTATCTTTCCCGTGCTGTGTCTATTATAATGATATACATGCAACACATGTTTGGGAGATGACTCGGATGACATTCATGATTTTCTCAGGCGTTCCACGCGTGTTTTCCGAGAGTGAAGAAGATAGAATCCAGAAGATACATGAGACATGCAAGAAGCGATCTTCTTAACATATGGCTGCGTTGAGTTGAAATCACACAGGCTGGGGCAGAGAGGAGCTCGTACAGGGTGTGTTTTTCAGCAGGCCACCCTTCTCCCCACACCACCGGCAAATGCTGGGCGGAGATTCCTCGCCTAAGCACCGAACGGTGAGGTGAAGATGAATATCAGCGCACCATTGGAGCGCTGTTTTGCATCTTCTGGCTGATGCGGACCCACCTGGACGGCAAGGCCGGTGCAGCTGAGACTGATGTGATGATACATACCACGGACGAGCTGAGTGGTTCAACCATGAACGGGTCGCATTCGGTGACTCCAGCGACGAAGGTAAGGTCACCTGACCTAGTACAGATGTGACGCTTCACGGGGGTTGGATGGTGGGACATGGTAGGATCTGAATGGACCTGACGCAAAACCAAGGGCCACAATGAGCTCTCTCAAATGGATGGGTGACACGATGAGAGAATGAAAATACTTGTGCTTCGTCCGGTTGGTCGGCTTGGGACAGGGAGGCCGGGGGGGGGGGGAGGGTCTCTGCCAGACCTCGCGGGGCTCGGGTGGTCGTAGCTGAGTGACTTGGGCAGACCATGCTTGGGCATTGGAGTCCAAGGAGTCAGCTGTCGGTGAGTACTGAGTCAGCCTGGGCAGGAGTCCTTCTGCTTCGGCCTGGATGATGACTGGAGGCCTCGAAATAAGACGCACTTCAAGGACGGGGTCTGGCGATTGGGGTGCCATGGCATGGCTCGCACGAACCACTGGATAGCAATAACAAGATATAACTACAAGATACTACAAGAAACATGACAGCAATCTCTTCCCCATTTCTTCAAACCTGTACTTCCATACTTCCAGTTTTCTTGTCCGCTTTTTCACAGGATCCCGAGCTGGAGGCGCTTTTTTCCTTCGCGTATCTTTTGCTGGGGGGGTGAAATTCGGTTCGATTCGTTTAGTGTTCTTCTTGATGCTTTCTGAAAAACTTTGCTTTGGGTTTGATATGGTTTGATCCTTCACCGCTACTCCGTCTAATGTGAAGCAGGCGGAGTACAAGAAGCGGAAGCTCTTCTATGAGAAGACAGACTGGGCCGCCATCGAAGCGCTTTTCGTCTTGGGCCCCAGCGCTTCCGCGTCTTGGGCCACCCAGATCAAGTGAACACGTCTTCGACGCATTTGACGCACCGGACGCTGGTCGTGTGAAAGTGAATCGGGATGGCTCTACAGATGTACCAGCACATGACCTGTGTGGATGTCTCGGTGCAGATTGGTACTATTGAAGACCCTCCCACCGTGGTGACGTCCCGGTCCGTCCAGTAGCAGCCGGTGGCTCCCAACCGGCTCCTTGTTGCACCAAGGTTGGAGCAGGTTTGCTTCACAAGGAGCGGAGACGGCTGGGGTGGGAGCCAGGAACAGAGGTATTTGCTGCAAGACAGCGGGTGAGGAGACTCAGACGGCGAAAGATTTGCTTCAGTCAGGTTGATCTTCCTTTAGTGGCTTTCGCACTTGCAGAATGAACCTCCGCATTTGGCCAACATGGTTGAACTAAGCATAGGCAGGAACGAAAGCGATGTGCTGTTTTAAGGCCTCCATTTTTGTACCTCTTTGTTTCCGCTCGGTCGCGGACGGCGCGAACTCCGCAGGCGGGTGGCGCGCATGATATAGACAGGACCTTGGCCATGTCGGTGGCTCAGGAGAGTAGGAGTCAATGAAGCTTAGGAGTGGCTCACGTTAAAGGAGAGATGGAGCGCGCTCCTTCGCGCCAGTGATTTGGAGTTCAAGAGACTCGGGATTTGTGGCTTGTCGTGTATGGTCCGTATGGCTCACAGGGCGTTGCATCTGTGTTTGGAAGCCAGCATCTGCCAGCATCAACCCGGTCCAGAGGTGAAGAGTGATAAGAATCAACCTTTGAACATGTTCAATGCTTTGAGGGACTCAGCTAGTGCCGCTGACCTTTTGAGGCTAGTGCTCATGACCATTCACGATGTCATGAAGCTCGACATCCTGCGGCCCACCGTTGGCTGCGGCGAGTGGGGGACCACCAGACCGTCACGCGGGGAGGTCGACACCCAGCTTCACCAAATCCAGTGAGGTCCCTTGCGCATACACCCCAGGTGCTCCCCTATTTAGAATCCAATAATCCATGACTTTGGACCCCTGAGAACGAGAAATCTGTTCTGATGTCTTTTCAAGCCGTGGGGTCGGAGCTCCGATCGATCGAGGCAGTTCTTCAGCAGCCACGCTTAATACATAGAGGGTTCCTCTTGGAGGTCTGATTGAACCCTCGCAGACTGATATAGACTATGGGAGGAGCATTCCCCTCTACAAGACCAATGTTTTTAGGTTCTATTTTAGTCTGCACGGGTGCATATTGTACCTATTTCCTGTAGATTCATATTGGTACATTTCCCGGGCAGCAACAAATGGACGACTCACGGTGATGAGCCCGTTCAGTTGCAGATGGAAGGCCACGGGCATTCCACCGCAGAGGCTTGATACTGCAATGAGACCCTGCACTTCCTGGACTCACCAACCGTTGCCAATGATGCTGTGTTTCCGAAGCCGAGACCCCACACCAGGCATCAAAAGCCTCCGCATATAGATCATCCTTGAGCCCAGGAACGCCATGCGTGAGGTGACGACGCGGAACGGCGTAGCTCCGCCACCGCTCGGCTGAGGTTCAGTGGCTATCGCAATGGGGAGCCCATCGGCGATCATGACCTGGCCTTGAGCTATGTGCCATGGCCAGGGGACGTGGCTTTTTGAAACGAAAAAGTCCCTGAAATCATCACGGTAACAGTGGAGTGAAAACCATTTGTTTGTAGCGGAACATGGCCCAAGAAAGGGGCAATTGTCCGCTTCCATTCCGGGGAGTGTAAAGAGATGTAAAGAGTTTGTAGATCAAGCAGATGAAGCCCTGTTGGGGGAAGAAGGCCTTTTTCGGGAAGGAACGTGGACCCGGTAGGTCAATAACTGGGATCGCAAAGCTATATGTGGTTGCTGTACGGGTATAAGTTTGTTCCTGACCGTTGGTCAGTTGTTTTTGTTTTTTGAATCTTTGTTCTTATAATTCTTTAAATATGATATGTGTATGTTTGTGTTTGTGCGGGGCTTTCGTTCTTCCTTTCCACTTTCAGCCAGTTGATCAGTTTCGCTTTCCAGACCTGCCACGACCCTGAAGGTGAGGCGTCCAAACGGTCGCCCCGCCACCTGTCAAGTCCCAACGGTCGCCCGGCCGCACCAGGTACTGGATCGATGTCCACAAGCCTTGCCCTCCTTCGCCGGCTTGGCGCCGGCCATGCAGGAGAGCATCAAGCCCGGGCGCCCGGGCGCGCGCGCGCACGGCGCCTTCGGTGGAGGTCCCGGTGGCCAGCTTCGGCTGACAGACCAGGACATGGCCAACAAAAAGGAGAAGCATGGCAGAAAAACCACACTTGGTTAGCATGTGGTAATGTCTTGGGGTGCAGGTCGTGATGTGAGATTTGGGAGGAAGCTGTTGGACTTCAAGAAGTCCATTGGTTTTTCAGGGTGGTCCAGAATGAGGAAAAACGATAAAGATCAGATGGGTGAAGAAGAAGGCACAGAAGGAGACGAGAGAGCATCTGAACCAACAACAGACCACAGTTTTCTCCGGGATCCTCTCCTTTGTGGCCTTTTCTGTGGGTGCATGCTGGCGCATGCTGGCTGAGGTTCACCCACTGCAAGCTGGACTACAACATGGGTTTGGACACCCAGAAGCGAAGAAGTCAGGTATCGACAGCTTGTCGGTCACCCTCCAAAGAAAAATTACCCGGACACTCCATGGAACTGGCATATTTACCTATACATGAAAACCCCTCTTCAACCACCCCAATGTAAGCAAATGTGGCATACATGGTCCAATGGTGTTTCGGTTATGGTTGGAGGTTGGGACTGTCGCAGGTACCCGTGCCCGGTTGATAGAGTACAGGCAGCCAAAAAACATCAAATTCAGGTGCCTTATAGGCGCCGTATTTTTGTGTGTAGTTGTTGGTGCTTGCACGTTTCTTCCTGAAGAAAGCTCCGAAGGAGAAGACACATGGAGTTTCTGCCAGTGTTTGGTCATTTCACGTCCATTTTCCGCTCTAGCGAGTAATGACGTTTCAACGCTTTTCTAAACTGTTGCTGGCCGTTTTGTTTCCTGACTTCCTTAACTGGGGTGATCGGCTCTCTTTGTGCTCCCCCAAACCCAAATCCAAGTCCATGGCAAGTTCAGAAAAAGGAGGATGATTATAGGTGTGTTCCAGACCTTCTTGCCATTCCATCGTTCCAGGTCCTTCGAAATCGAGTGTTTCCCGTCAGGAACCTCCGACACAGAACCCGGTGGAGCACCGCCTCACACCAGAACAATCAAAACGAACCTTGGGATTTGGTAGTGCACAACTCAAGGGACATCCAAGTCTGCATCTGTCAGCCCTCCAAGCATTTAGGGCAACAGGTGTAGCACATGACCATGACCGAAAATAACTTTCTGAATTTAGTGGGAGGCTAGTTTCCTTCACTTTCAGGGATGAAAAGGGTCATGTTCATCGTGTTCATCCATTGTGTAAGGTCTAATGTTCATGGGAAGGGGTGTGTGTTTCGCGTGCTTGGTGCTCCCACATTGGATCAAACTTGTCGTGCTCACCAAACTTGGGACTCTAATGTGCTTGGCTAGTCCACCCACCCAAGTCCCTGTCCACCCACCCAATTCCCTTCTCTAGGACGACTGGCTGGATGCTTTGCTGAGGCTGGCTGGTCCAGGCAGAAGCACCTCCAGGGGCACGAGGGCCCAGTGAAGCTGGGTGCAGGACTGATGTGGAAGATGGTGGAAGTGGGTGGATGCCGAATGATGTTCCTACCCCCAACAAGAGCTGCCCCTTGTTGTTCAGATCTCAAATACACCTGCATGTTCTTTCGCCTCCCTCCCACACCCTCCCTCGCCCTCCACATGACGCCCTCCCACATGGCGTTCTCCACCGAGCCGAGGCTCTCTTCAAGGCCTTCCGCCAGGTGGTGCTCGCGGGCGCCGCCTCCGACCGGAAATCCGTGCCTTGGAGGGTCGGTGCTTGGAGAGTCGGGGGTGGCTCACCGACATGGGCGGTTTGGGGCGCCACGCGTCACCAAACCGGTCATGATGCACAAGCTTCACAAGTGTCCAAAGGTCATTTTAGCATATTTTAGCTATAGATGCTGTACCTTTGCAGTGAACAACATGTAAATTGCTCCGCTCAGGTGCAGGTGTGAAGGATACTTGAAAGTAATTACCTGTAGACTGTAGATCTTGCTGCTGATTGGACAACGGTAGGAGGTTCCCTATTTGGGAAAAGAATGCACGCTAGATGCGAAGTGTTGACCATGTTGACCGTGGCTCATGTATCCAGATGACACTACCCGCGGTTTGCGGAAATTACGAGGCAATTCCAAAAAAGTCAAGCGGAAAATGCAAACTTCACACACTATCGCATTGTTCCTTTTGTGCAGGAGACTGGCGTTCCCCGGGCTGACCCAATTTGAGCTGGCAACCTTTGCTGGCCTGGCACGTGCCGACCGCGCCAAGGCGAGCGACATCGCTTTCTACTTTGTCCACTGGCCGGGGCCCCACTGGTGAGTCCCAGCACGGCGGGCCATTGACTCCGCTCAGAAAAGACGCGGAGAGATACTAAGCACAGACAGCACCATTTGTCCCTTTCCAAATGGACCTCCTCTATGTATTACTGCACACGTTTTCGGCGCTTCAGACTTACCCCTCTCCCCACCGCAGGGTCCTCGACGACTCGTCAACGCGTCGACTTAAAACGCGGCCACGCCATCGACGGCCGCCGCTCGGGCGAGCGGCGAACGGGATGAGGTTCTCGGACCTGGCGGGGGCGGAAGCCTTCCCATTGCAAGGCTGGCGCTGAACGTGGGTTGGAACGATTGGGTTTGGGCAACGGTGCCGGGATGTGACAGGGAGAGACACAAAGACCGACTTCTTCAGATATGTTCTCTCCAAATTGGTGGTGCTGGGGATGTTCAAAACCTGGTTTTTGGGGGTGTTCAGCCATCAGGCGATGTTTGAGGTGGCGATGTTCATCGTGGATTTCTACCAGCCTCAGACTGCTGTTCCCATGTTCCCTAGGGCCCTAGCTGCCCTAGCTTGGTGACTCTCCTCCAAGCCACATAAATCGAGCACCGGACTCTGGAGCGCCACATGGGCTTCAGGATGTGAAAAGTTTGTCTTGAAGTTCCCTCTGCACGTGGCAGCCTTGGAAAGGACATGAGCGCGAGTTGTCTGATGGATGACAGAGCTGTGAGAAGGATGATGACTACGAAGGGCGAAGGCTCTTGATCTGGGGATGTGTCAAAACCTGGAGCCCTAGTCCACCAGGTCGCGAACGACACCAGGTAGGCCGCAAATTGGAGTTTGGACGCGCCATGCTGGGCCATCGACCTAAGCGGAAAACCCGACAGTCACGACGACACCAAGTCCAGCGCTCGTCGCAGCGGATGGGTCCGAGGTCCTGAGCAGCTTCATCGATTCCTTCGCGGTGGTCCGGCGGCCCAACGGTTCAGGTCCGGTCGGTCGGGTGGGTTGAGTTCAGGTCCGTGGCCGTTTAAAAGGGCGGGCGGCGGGCAGCGAAGTGGCGAAGATCTCCGAAGTGGAGAAGGGCACAAATGGCATCGAGAGGTGCTGGAAATTCATGATGTTTGAGATGGCTGATCGATATAGAGAGAGAGAGAGAAAGAGAGCTTGGTTTGGTTTTGCTGTTGGCAGAGACCTCCAGCAAGCAGGAAAGCAACCAATGAAATACCATGAGATTTTCCCGAGCAGCCTTCCCAATTCCGGTTCCCTTCACTTTCATGGAGCTCAACCTCAGAACCTCCAGGTCACCGAATCCAGCTTTTCCATCACCCCCTGGCCCCCACCATTGGTGTTTTTTCCGGAAGATGTTCCCCATCTCGTCCCTACTGCCACCGGAGCGTTCGCGTTCCACGAACGCACGCGTTCGCACGCACGAAGGGGAGAACGCACCGCTCTGAGGTCTGGAATTTGGGGCCGAAAACCGAAACAGAGGTCTTCGAGGCCCAAGCAGCGAGCCCAAAGCGCTTCCGCGGCCCCCGAGCTCAGCGGTTTTGGAGATGGTTTGAGAGCGATGTTTTGTTTCACAGATGTGAACGTCCCAGAGGGTTTGACACACTGTATATCAAGTCCATATACTATATAAATTTGTTTTTGCTCAGTTTGACCCGACCATGCAGCAATGTCCGCCTTTTGCTTTTTGTGCCTGTCGAACTGCATGCCATTTCGCACTTGCACCGGCAGGACTACTTGGTGTGGCGCTGGAACCACATGAGCACCAAGATGGGCACGACACCCTCGGGCACTGGGGCCATCGCTAAGATGCGTCTCGTAGGGGTCGCCCAGTCTGGTCAGACCGCCGGAGGAAGGGTGCCTTCTCAGACCGCGTGGCTTTGTCCATCAAGTCCATCAGCACAAAGTGGGCTTCACATGTGGTGGGTTTGGGTTCATGGGCAAACACCTCCTGATCCAGAGAGGTCATCCCGCGTCAGGTCGTGAGGTCGTCCCATGCAGGACTGAAGAAGCCTGTGCTTCTGCGCCTCAGCTCTTGTTGGGAGCTGAAGATCTCCGTGTTTTCCACCTGGCTCGGTGGATTTGGTGAAGATCCACCATGCCGCATGCGGATCGTGGGTGCTCGGGGTGGATCTATCCGAGTCTTCGCTGGTTTTGTCCTGTTTTTTTTTGGGGATCTCTGATCTGGGTCTCTTCCTGCCCAATTCGATTCGGTCGCAGCGCACGAAACCGCTTCGCGCGCCCGAGCACCCACGGCCCTCGCCGTCGTTGAGGTCTTGATGGCGCAAGGAGATAGCTTGGAGATCATCAGGCGGAGTGGAGACGAAGTCCCGGATCGGCGGATGGAAATGGGCGGGAAATGGAGGATCCTTCCCAAACAAGTAAAGTGTGTTGGTTTAGAGGCCCGGGTGTTCTTGTCGGCTCAGTAGGTTTTGGAGTCTGATGCCTTGAATGACTTGAATGTTGAAGATGTTTCGGGGGGGCTGTCCAACCATTTTCCTTCAACATCTTCAACACAGTGTCCGACTCTCACCCAGGACCCCTGTCATAGCCATGTGGTGGCCAGAAAACGCCAAACATCTGCAGGCAGTTTGAGAAGCTGAAGAAGGCAGACTACCAAGTGCTGAGCCAGGAGATTGAGCGGCCTGTGGATCACCGGCCTTGTTAGTGGCCCAATGACAACAAGCATGAAATCCAATACCAAAAGAACCTATGTAACGTAGGATTTTGAACATATTTGAAGGCATTATAGTACGTTGGAATGGCCCGAGCCCCACACTTCGAGTGTGCCAGATTTAGGGGTGAGAATTAGTGAGAATTAGTGAGAAGATATCTCCAACGTTGATGTTTGACACCTTGGTCCACAATTCAATGTTGGGCTCTTGTGGGCATTATACCATCGCCAGCTCTGGTCAACGGCTTGAAACATGCGATGGAAACAACGCAGCGTGGGGAGGGATCCTTTCCTTTAGATCCTTTTTCTTTCCAAAGTGTGCCAAAGCTTGAGGGCTTCGGGCTTTTGCTTTCCTGAGCTAACCACCTTGAGCTGGGCTGCATACTAGCAGAGTTGCAGTATGTTGCAATACCATGTTAGTCAAGGCTAGTCTAATTTTCTACTTGATATGGCCAAGCTAGAGAGAGATACAGAGAGAAAGATCCAGTAAGCATGTTCCAAATACCAATGCTAAAGGGATCCTTATTCCGCACATGTGCACACTCCTTATCAGCTACCATGGTTCCGTGGAAACAGCCCAACTGGTGGAGGAACATGGTCTTCCTGAAGGCGGTCCCATCGGTTTGACGGGTTTCATCCACCAGATCCGTCCCGCTCCGGACGTGAAGCCGGAGGAGCTCGCCATCACCGGCTGCTCCCAGCAGAAGTACAAGCGGGATAGCTGGAAGGAGAATGGGCAGCCGGGGTGAAGACAGGAGTCCGGGCATGTCCGGGTCCCTTGCTCTTGAGTTTAATTTGAAGATATTTCAAGGGGGAATGCTTTGGCACTGTCCCATTACCTTTAGCAGTTGGTAAACAAGGAAATCACTCATGTTTAGAGATTTCGGCCTGCAACTGAACCATGCAAAGGACGGGCTTTTCAGATCTGATCAGATTTGTTTTTTCTCGTGCTCTTAGTCTTACAAGTGGCAGCAATTAGGTGCCCAGATCGAGAAGACGACGTTGCAATAGAGACTCTGACGTCCAGCCAGCCCAACACATGCTTGGCATGGGCATGTCAAATGGATTTGTGTGGATACGCTGCACTTCCACTATCATCGTGGCAAACTGGAAGGGAACAGTTTCCCATCTTCTAACCTGGTGTGGCATGCCCGAGATCAAGGAAGTGAACCTCAGGCTTGAACACTCTACTGTAACTCTAAAGATGTCGAGGTGAAGGAAAATTGATCAACTTGTACCAGTTGAAGACCGCGCGTCAAGCATCCAAACATAAGAATCGCTGACAAGGAACGCTAGACTGCAGACTGCATCGTGATAAGTTCACACCACGGATTGGACGAGAGCGGCATGTTCCAGCATCCTGAAGTAGATGGAATATAGCATTGAAAGGGTGGATTTTGGAGCGTTAGAGACTGCAATGCTCCATATGATGAATCTTTAACCATTGTATTTTCACACATCCAGACTCCAGACCTGTCACCTCCATGAGCTCAACTGACCACAACAGCAACGCACGTTCACGCACGTTCACGCACACGCAGGAGGCTGGTGGCCCCGCCATCCTGGTTCGGATGCCGAGGGATTCGGAGGGATTCGGGGATTCGGTGTTTCCAGTTCCAATGACATCGGTTCTTCCCTCACCAGGACCCCACCTTCCTTAGTGAAAGTGGATGGAAGTTGGTACTGAAAAAGACACGCTTCCGTGACGTGTCACTGTTGCTTCCGAACCTTCGGAGCCTGGAATCTGAAGCCTGGATGCCTGGAGCTTCCGCGACTGACGAACATGGTGCTCAGCGATCTCAGTTCGTTCTTGAAGGTTCCCTTCTAGTTTTGGGGGGGTCGCATCGCGTTGCTTGTGGGATGAAGACTGGGGCTACGGGAAGCGAATCAAGGATGTGAACTAAGTGCCGGCAGCTCATCAATCGTTCCTTCAACGCAATAGTGCGTCCGACTGCATGGTGACAGAGTGAGAGGGAGAGAGTCTGAATCGGTCAAACATGGCGTCCATGATGTGCGAATCCAAAACAGAAAGTCGAACATTGTTAGCATTGTTAGCTAATTGAAATATGTTGAAGTGACGTGGAGGTGCTGGTGTTGCTTTGCAACTTAAGGATGGGACACCCAGTTTCCAACCCCCTACTGCCTCCAGCTGCTGTCCCCCAGATCCTCCTCCTTAGTCCCTGCCAAAAAGGAGAAACCTTCTCCCCACTCCCGGGGCAACTGCTCCTGGACGTACCCGTCGAGGTGTACTATGCCCCGGCGCTGATGCAGAAAGCCGGTCGAGAGGAGAACGCCGTCGGGCGAAGGGATGGGTGTGCCCTTCGGTGCGCGGGAAAAAAGGTTCGGGTTCGAGAGATGGTTCAATGTTGACCTGCAAAAATGGTGCGCATCCAAAGTTTGTTTAATGGAACTTCCATCAACCTTGTGGAACCTCCATGAGCCTTGTGGCTCCATTCAGCATCATTCATCTATGGAGTGCCTTGTCGCTACAAAAAAAAAGTGGACCTTGATCACTCAGGCGTGGCGGGAGACACAGTCCAAGTCATGAGTGGCAGTGGAAGTGTCATGAAACATATTCTTTGTTATACATTCAGCCAATCAGCTTCCACTGAAAATCCAGGAGTGCTCAACACTTTGGTCTTAAGTTTGTAGATGTGGATGTTTGTGTGTCAGGATGGCTTTACCAGGTGTAATTATGTTATTCATTCTAGAGTCATAGTCGTAACGTGTCGCCCATTGTCCATGTGGGTGTGAAGCACTACGTATCCCTTTACCTCCATGCCACTGAACGTGCACCGAAAACAGTGTCCTTGCGCCCCAGACGGGCTCAAACTTCAGCGAACTTCTTGTTCTGCTTATACCATCTAATCTATCCTCCTGATTCCGAACCCTGGCCAAGCTAGCCACCTTTGGCGCTCGTCGGCCGCCCGTCTGCCGCCGCCCGTCGTCGTCGGCCGCCCGAGTAGTGGCGGGTCGATCGAGGCCGACCTGACCGCGCCAGGATCCCTTCAGTGCGATGACCATCTTGGCCGAGATTTTCCGCCAAGCATGCTCACTCTGGCCGCTGTAGGGGGCTCATGGGGGCTCAGCAGAGCGAAAGAGTTGATGATGATCAATGATGATGATGATGATGACGACGAGGATGATGATGATGATGATGATGATGATGATGATGATGATGATGATGATGATGATGATGATGATGATGATGCCTTGCCATCCTGGGTAGATGGATTGCAAGGCAGGTTGCTGGAAAACCATCGGCTTTCCACGCCTAAATTGGAGCGACCATCCCGCCCAAGCGTGACTTTTTGGTCCGCACTGTGTCCCAAAAGTGCCATCTCATCACCATGACTCCTGAACCAGGCACCGTGAGTCCTCCCCTCGATTCTCGGCGTGCGACGATGGGCGACCATGGGCGAACCGTGCTGAGGTCCAACAAGCCGGAGGAGTGTGACAAGTGCGTCATGGCCGGGCCACCGAGACAATCAAGGCGGTCATGAGCGTTTTGAGGCCCATCGGCCTTCCAGATGGGCCAAGAAGGGGACTGACTGATGAGCTTTTGATGGCCTGACTGAGCAGGACTGGTTCGGGATCCATCAGTCTTTGTGCCGAACGAAGGTGGACATATAAATATATAAAATACATTATATAATTATATATTATAGTTATTATATATAATACATAAGATATATATATATAACACACTATATATATATATTGTACAATATACTTTCGCTGGCCCGACGCAGTCCAAGACCGCTTTCGACGGGTACCGCCGTACGGTTTTGGGGTCCGACTTTCGACGGGTCCTCCGAGACCACTCCAAAGATCCCAGTGCAAATGGACTAGCTGGCGTTGTTGGTTTACTTGTTGCTAGAGGGAAGGGATGATCATCTTACTCAGTTGCTCAGTGAACTTGATATATCTTAACACATTGCTAGCAGTTTGACGTTACCACGCTGTGCATTGCTTTGGCGTCCCCTCCCAGAAGTCCTGGCCCTAGGTCCGGGCCTCGCAACATCTCGCAACGGTCGCCACCTTTCTTCTCGGTCGCCTGCCGCCAGCTGGGGCCGAGCTGAGGTTCGAATTGATGTCCTCAAGGAGCTCCAGGCCGAGTCCCGACTGTGGTGGTCGCTTCGTGGCTCACCGGAGGGTCGTCCCTTTAACTCACCGGCTTGCTCTGATGAGAGAGCGAGAAGCAAAAAGCACTCCTTCCTACATGCGAACGAGCTGCTTACAGTGGATTCAGAAGGGATGACAGAAATCTCATATCTGATTGGGATAGTTGTTTGGGACACCTTTGACGTCA